AATGATGTCATGAGTTACACTTGATTATTGTATTTATATTGGATTTACATGTTTTCTAGATCACTAAGAAACTTGCCCGGGCCATTGCAGACACGGCACATGGATGACAAACGTCAGTAATGAATGTGGCGAGGTCTGAAACTGTGTCCTAACCACTGGTGAGGGAGCTGGTCTAGAGGCTTGCTGCCAAGTCATCGTCAGCGCTACCAAGACGCTGGGGAGCCAGAGCCAGAAGTTATATATGTGGACCGAGATTGCTGCACACGGGCACAGGTTTAGGGCGGTTGACTGTTTGTGTATCATTGTGTTATTTATTGCACGGACAAATGAAAACCTTTACAAATGTGTAAACATAAGATCTTCTTGTTTATGAATAAGTATTCTTCTATATGAATACCACCAGTCTAGATTGTACATCTTGTTCTTTCCCCATTCCCTTGCCTCAAATCTAAGGGAGAGACTAAGGAGAGAGGATCAGTGAAAAGGCATTCAAAAAGAGACATCCTTTTACACCCATAAAAATGAATTTGATGCAGCATCATGTGTTATTTTATTGATGTATATTTTTATTTTGTATCAAACTGCAACGTGGCATAAGTTGAAAATTATATATTACCAAATTTTGTATTATTATTATTATTATTTTACACAGGACACACACATTCATTTATTAAGGTGTGTTGTCCTGATGAGACGGGAGGCCACAATAAGAAGGGTCTTTCCACGATGACATTCCCACTTTCTTCTAAACCCGATCAATTGCCATTCCCTGCCTTTCCACAGATGCTCTCGCTTTTACACCTGACATTCTGCATCATCAACTACTCCACCTAAGTCTTCCCCATCCAGTTGCGTTTCATTTGTATTTTAATTAAACATGCTTACATTCACACCTTGCTTTTCTTTGGCACACGGTTTAACCCCGGTTCAAGTTGGTTTCGACCTTGAAACCCACGTTTAAATTGGATATTTTCCACTTCATGAGCGATTCACAACGGTCTCACTACAGAATCACCTCCCCTGTATGGCACTTTCTGTTCCAAAATGTCGAGCTGCATTTATGAGTGGGACAAGGATGACACAGCCATCTGAAAAGAAGCAAAGACTTCAGAGCTCAGAAACTACATGCTGGTCAGACTCCTTCAGAAGCGCAATTTCTGGCCAACATTCAGCCTCCAGCGGAACTGGCGAACACTGCAGAGGAGAACTCGTGGGTAGAGGAAAGCCGTGCCCTCATCCAGGATTATGCTCAACTCAATGTGGGAGCCACTGGACACATCAGGGCTTGAGGCTATCAATCCTGAGAGCATGACACGTGTGTGGGAGGGTTCAACAAAAACATTTGCCGATGCATTCAGGATCCTCCCGTGCGTGTGGAACTGTACACCAAAGTGATCAGGGTCTACAAAAGGGCGGTAAGGTTTCTGGAGGTCCTAAGATGTGGCAGAGGTTTCCTCTTCTGTGAAGAATCCATGGCATCAGGAACACCTTCATCCCGGGTAAAAATAATAATATATAAAAAATTCTGCTTTTGAATTGTCATAAAAAACAGTCTCAAGTGTATGATACATTGCACACATGGGGAAAGTATCATCGTTCATAAATGCCAAATTATATTTGAATGTTTTCCTTTTTTTAAAGGCGTGGAGATCTAATGCCATGCACACGCAAATGTAACTGCTTGAAGGGAGTTCCAGATGGAAAATGGAATCGAGCCCATGCAGCTGTTCATGTGAGTGGCGCTCACAAAACAGGATCTACGATGTCCGATAAGACTATCTAAATGCCCTCAGCCAGCGAGTTTCTTGGGTTGGGCCCCTACTACCAGAATTCCTACCCCCCTGGGAAACCCACTGGTAAGTCACTTCAGGCCCCCCCATTTCACTGCAACTAGGGCCCTTTCTGTTCTTCTTCTTTCTAGTAGAACTTGTTTATTCCTCCAAATTAACATTTCTTTTTCATAATTTATGTTATGGCAGGTGAGCGTATTGCTGTGGGTATTTGCTGCGCTCAGTCTGAACAGCAGGAGATCTTGCTGGCGGTACAACAGGACAGTGAAACTTGGCACCATTGTTCCAGACGCCAGGTTTGAAGTTCAGGAGGAGGAGGAGTGCCTTGACATCACAATGAGTGATGCCAGTGGAAAGATCCTCAGTCAGACGCCCCTCGGACACTTCAGCACCCGCGGTGCTTTCTGCTCCCTGTATCTCACACACATCCACTCAACATCATCTCATGGTAATCTGATATCTTTTATTGCCCTGGCATATGAATTCTAGAAGAACCATAATGCTTTGAATGGTGTTTTATCGCATAGGATACAATTTGTCTTTTGTGTTGGCAGCTTTAGATACATTTTTATGGGCAATATCAAATCAAGGATATTTTTACTCAACGTTTGTCTCTCATGGCCGGTTACTTGTGTACAGCCGTTGGCACTATTCCCCCCAAGTGATGCAGCTGAGAGCCACTGAAGAGCCCAGCCTGAAATCCACTCAGAGTATTTCTCTTCCTGCCTGACTCACCCGGACGCGTCCACTTTACACAACCTCTCAGGTTTCTGACCAATTGTAAAAAAATTCCACATTGTTTTGAAATTCTTCAGGAGATCCTTCATGTCAATTGCTCGCACATGCTATGAATAACTTGTTTTATTAAGTCTCAAATAGTCAATTGGTGTTTGTGTGCTATAGCACGGTGATGTCACACAGTCCTGCACAGATGTGTACTTCTGACAAAAACGTCTCTGCGCCCAGGACATCGCTCAGGTCATGTGACCATTTATTAATCATTTGCAATGGTTGTTTCATTTTTCAGGATACCCACTGTGATTCTCGAGGTGTTCCATGGGTGGGAAGGCTGTGGATGACTTGGCAAAGTATCTTGTTCTCTTAATAGAACAAATAACGGCATTGGTCAGTAGGCGAGACGGATGAGATTGTGAGGCTGTATTCAAAGCTACCATCAAAATGGATAAGCAACCACAACCTATAGCCTGAAGTCCAAAAAAAGGACCTTGCCTGGACCATGGAGAGTCTTCAGGAAACGAATGGCTCTGCTCCAGGCCAACAAAGCAGCTGAAAGGTGTACTGACTTATAGTGGATGCACACATACATAATTCACATATCTCTTAAATTGTCATTATTGTTAGTAGTAAGTAGCTGTATTGTATGTCTAACCCTCACAGCATTTTAGACTCTTTGTAATAGATTCAGACAAATGAACTGGTATAGTCCATTTGTGAAGTGGGGTTGTACTGTATATCCGTATAATATTTTATAAATCTTCTTTCTCTTCACAGACTATTCATGGACCCATGGTCAGGCTGCTCTGAGACTTGATGCCAACGGCATATGTGATGTGTTTCACTCAGGCTTTGAAGGGAGTTTGAGCTTGCAAGAAACCAACCAAAGACAGCAAAGTAAAACCTTACCTATTTCCGCAGTCGATGGTGAATCATACGTCCACATTAAACAACTGCTGGGAAGACCAGCCTCGTCATACGGAGCAGAACGGACTGGTGCTTGTCACTATAAACAACACCACTGTGTCTTGTTTGGTAAGAGATTTTGGCTACATTCTCTTTAAACAGTTCACTTATAGATGGGATTCACTTTGTAACAACTCTCAATATGTTGTATTTCTTTTCTAGGTTACAAGACAGACAAAAAAGAACCGCTCGGGAACTCATTGCTCCAAGGAGTGCAGCTCCCCCGAAAAGGCCAACAGCAGCTGAGGATTCCTTGCCATTACCGAAGGGAGCTCCCTACGAAACTGTGAGGCACGGACATGTTAGCCTGGGAAATCCAGGAGCCTGACAATAGGGAGGGTGAGCATTGATACGGCCAGTGCGCAGTGCCAGAGCTGACTCAGGTTCTTTTCTGCTTCATCCACCAGCACCACGCAGGGTCACTTCACAAGCCCATTCTCCTGCATTTTGGCAGTACCCATGCCTCAAGGCACCATATCCTGCCTCATGGGCAGTACCCCATGCCTCCAGCACCATATCCTGCCTCGATGGCAGTACCCCATGCACTCCAGCACCATTCTCTGCCTCATGGCAGTACCCATCCTGCATGCCTTCAGCACCATTCCTGCCATATGGGCTACCACCATGCCCTCCAGCACCATCTCCTGCCTCATGGCAGTTCCCCGTGCCTGCAGGGCCCGGGTCACCTTCCACCTGCTCCGTCTACTGCTTCATCTTCACAAGCCCCTATTCCTTCAGCATTCCTCAGTTGACAAATCCCTCTGTCGACCTAAATAGGCGCAGGAAATGGCGGCATGAAAATACAGCAAAAGAGGACCAGGTGCTTGCGGAAGAGGGGAGCCACCGAAGAAGCGACTCATAAAAGAGGACTACCAACTACCAATGCAAAAGCTGTGGTCAGTCGAAAAAGAAGAGCACTGGCCATACCCAGCTTAAGGGTAAATGGTACTGTCCAGCATTCCTGGACAGACCATTGCAGAATGGAAAAGGCTCTCTAGACAAGAAGTAAGCTGTTTTTACTGTTGATGTTATTATAATGCATCCCTTTATCTGGTGTTCATAATAATGTTGTATATAATGTACCCTTTTATCTGTGTGTTCATAATAATGTTGTATAGAATGTATCCCTTTTATCTGTGTTCATAATAATGTTGTATAAGATGTTTATCGTTGTCATGGCATTCCAGAGATAATAAAAATAATATGGGAAAGCATACGTTTACTTGTGTTTTTGTTTGTTCTATGCTAAACGTTTCAACATTTTGTAAATGGGTGAAAATGAAATGGGTTTATTGGCCTTAGAGTACTATAAAGTCTCCTTTTTTTCTTCCCCCTCCCTTTGCCCCTCTTTTTCCTCTTCTTTCCCCCACATAGCAGTCCCTTTGGCCCCATTTTTGGCCGAGTGGTTAAGGCGATGGACTAGAAATCCATTGGGGTCTCCCCGCGCAGGTTCGAATCCTGCCGACAACGTGGTAAAATTTTCATTGCCCAAAAGCCTTAGTCAACATTAAATTAGACTGATATCTCAGAAGGCCTAACAACATAGAGAGTTGTTGCAACTCATTTACTAAAGCCACGTAGTGGTCACTCAGTTCAACAAAGTGTTTAAAGTGTCCTTAAATAGGGATCATTGCCACACTTACTGGCTTTAATGGTTTGGGACACTATCAAATTGCCAGGTGTTAGAGAGCTCTCTTGACGACATTTTGAGAGGGAAAACAAGTTTCATTACATAAGCTTATCACATGTTTTTTCAGCTGTTAAATAAATATAGAAAGTGGAATATTTGTCTATTAAATATAGTTGAGTAGAAGTCAAAACTAGCATCAATTGCAAAATCTCAAAAGTACAAGTACTCCATAAAAAAAAAAAGGAAAGGTACCCCAAAATTGTCAATGAGTACTGCCGTGGCTTCCTTCCTTGTATTTCCATCAAGCCACTAGACGCCTTAAACAGACAGTTCTAACTCGTTTCTTTCCTTAAATTACTCACAGTTTGAAGTGTTGCTTGGCCTCCGATGGTTTTAGAAGATGTTGCGATGTGTTTGCTCAAAATAAAATAATAATAAAATTGCACATGCAACAAAGAAAAATAGGCCTTTACAATATTCAAAAGAAATAGGCAAAACTCAAATAAAACAAACAACTTAGGTATTCTTTCTTCCGTGATAATGGTTATAACTTCACAACTTAAAGGGTATTTGTACGGTTTGTATGTAGGCCTACGTGTATGGTACGAGTACGGTTAAAAACTGTTCCTCGACGGCGTCTCTCAACAGGTTGCCCATCACTGTGGCGTTAGCACAGGCGCCGTGGGAATTAGTCCTTTATAGTGCGTTGACTACAGACGTCACAATTAGGTGGCCTTTCTTATCAAATCAAAATACTGGCTCTAACAACATGGTTTATACGTGTAATTACTGGGGTTCCATTTCTTCTGATTACCTAAATTGGGCGTGCACATTTGCCACGCGCAAACCTACCTCTTTTGGATTTGGAAAGGTTGGCATGTATGGCCTTAACATGAAGTAATATTAAGTAACCCAAAATGTTAAACAGTAAGAGTAGTAGTCATATTTCGTGAACCCTTTGAAGAGTACTGTCACACCGGTGTGATCATTCTATAATACACCATTTAAGTCCGGGGGAGAAATGGCTAACGCTACATTAGCATCGGCGATCTTTTGTACTTCATGCTATCTGCACAAACGGTTGACATTAAACATTAAAAAGATCAGGCAGTTCAGAGAGAATCAAAGGAAGGCAGGCAGGCAGGCAGGCAGCTTTGCATGACATTCTTCTGGACGTGTTTCATTGTGGTGATAGTGAGGGTAGTCAATCTCTTGTTTGGCAAGACAGTAGTGACGGCCATCTTGGTGACGTGTGTTGTTGTGCAAGAGATGTAGTTAATTGAAAGTTTCGCAAAAAAAATGTGTTACTTCACAGTTTTACGACACATTTTTATTTTTTTATCTTGCAAAATTATCTTTTAAATTGACAAACATCATATGTGTAATTCGTGACACAATTCAAACGGGATCGAAAGATAATCTTTCTCTCGCCATTGACTTCAATACGTATTTTTTCCGAAATAAGGTCCCATGGAGGTCCAACGGAAGGGGAGGGACTTCGCCACTCTATGGAGGAATCCCATTGCTTTTTTGTCAAGGGAACGCGAGCGCAGCTTACTTCCGGGTTTTAGGACACGGTAGCAGTAACAGACTAAAGCTGCGGTCACATGACAAGCAGTAAAATGGCTCTGCGCTCACTTTGGAGTTGAGCAGCGCCACCCCACTTGGCCGAAGCGCTACCCTCAGTGGCGTTCATGCTCGAAATGTTTTGCTTCGCTCAAAGCTAAAATTACCTCAACTTTGACCTTGTTTACAGCGGACCTTTCGACGTGCAACCAATCAGATGACAGCTGTATATAGCAGTGCAAGCTAGCAGGGGGGATAACCATAGATCTGAAACTTAACTGACTGTTTTCAACGTAAGGCTCTTTGCCCAACCTGAGCAAAGAGAAAATTGCGTATCATGTGAATGCAGCTTAAGGCAGTTTAAAGCTGCTGTTGACTAAAACGGTAAGAAAATTTACCCACAACACTCACACCAGGAGGCCCACGAGTAATTACTCTGATGCATCACTATACTTAAATGCCTACAGAACATTAAGTGCAATAATATTGTTGGATGTAAAGGAAATGTAGGAGTACATCATCTTGTTCCACTCTGTAGCTGTCTCAAGTCACGGCCTAATGTGTCATTAACATAGCTATCAAATATATGAATTCACTTTTCAATGAGCAAATTATTATAATATTACTGTTATTTTATGATATTTTCACTTATTCTGGGAATCTACTGCTACGCTGCTGTAAGGTGTGTTGTTCTTTCTTTTCCCCCATTACTGCAGCAGTTCGGGACAAGTGTTGATGGCGAAGCATATTCATTATCAAAGAGCTATTGTGAGGATTGAACGGTTTCCCATGCCGCAACATCAGTACAGTCTGCTCCACAAAGCTTTTCAAAGCATCCCCCAGCCTCACTGTGCTGGCGCCCTGCTGTACTGTCCGGTCCTGTGGGACACAATGGAGGTCGTATCTGGAAAGGGACGGTACATCAGCTGGACGCTAATCGGATGACTCACCTTCACAATTCGCCCCTCTGGGATGGGCCAGAGGACTAGCGAAGGGGAGAGGCGGAGGGAAATCAGACTGTGAGCGATTAGGTTAATGAAAGAGGGAAATGGAGTGAAAGGACAGAAAAAGGTGGCCCTAAGGCAAATAAGTTTATAGGAAAGCCGAACCAATTGCTCCGACAGCTTTAGAGCACAGCATCGAGACACTGATTGGCACTGTAGAAACGAGAGCCTAGATATACTGTCACTGGGTGAAATAATGACTTTACATGTCCTATTTTAGAAACTCCCATTTATATCAACTGCTGGAAGGTCAATGTTTTTTTGTACAGCTGTCTGCTTTAACTGAAAGTTAACTGCAAATCTCCAACAAAGTCTAATTTTAAAGCTCCACTCATTCTTAAGTCGAAACAAAGCTGTCTCAGGAAAAACCTTGAAGAGGGGGCTGCAATACACACCACACACACACAACACACACACACACACCCACACACACCACACACACACAGCACCAACACACACACACAGCACACACCACAGCACACACACACACACACACACACACAGCACACACCACACACCACACACACAGCACACACACACACACACACACCACAACACCACACACACAGCACACAGCACACACACACCTTCTATA